TCAGGAGACAGAGCTGAGCGTGGCAAGCAGACAGGGTTTTGGAGATGTTTTCTTTTTTATTGGGACTGAATCAGACTTTGTGATCTGAGCCACAGGTGAAGCTGAAGGCTTGAGGTAGAGATTTGGATTTTTAAAGTAAAAATGGAAGATATTAATTCTTTGGTCCAGGGTCCGAATGTTCTGTCTGGCAATAATAAGATGCGCTCACATTTTTTGTGTAAAGCAAATCCGGGAAAATCATCTGTTCTGACTGTAGCGACTTTGCTGGCAAGGAATATTTACCATATTGGTGGAACGGTGGCTGTACCACAAAAAATCAGGCTTCCTCATTGTGGTAAGTTGACAAGACAATTGTATATTTGTGAATGCTCAAAGCTTTGTTGTTCCTGCATGACTTGAATTTAGCAATCTCATGTTCATGGACAAAACCAGTATAGCATAATGCTATGTGACATAACTTAAAACCAGCAAGATGCTTGTTTTAATGAGCCATTACATTAATTACATGCACGAGCAGTGTGTATCATTTATGTTATTTTGAGCATGTTGTTGAATAGCCTAGAAAAGGTTACTTGTGCATAAATTGTGATGCATTTGGCCAGTCGAGCAGAAGTGATAAATGTTACCAACAGCAAACAAACCCATGGACTACACCAGGTGCGACATTCTTATATTTGCCATATTATTTTCAATAAAAATATAGTATTTAACTTGAACTGGATGCTGGCTAGGGGTTGCCTTATGTCACATGAATAGTGCATGAAGGCAGATGCTGCTGCATATGAATGTAGTTATGAATACATTATATTGCATGCAGTCATCAACCTTAACAGAGATCTGGTCAAGGGTGAAAAATCCTTTTAAACTCATTATAACAGAAATGAACCTGCCAAGAGAGAAATGCAGCATTTGAGTTACAGTGCAGGATGGTATAAAGACAGAGTACAGAGATTCAATTGGAATGATCAACGGAGAACTAACACGAGGCTGTATATTTTGTTACCATGCCCTGGCCGGTACTGTGCTGATCTAAGTGAGGAAGAGCTTTGTTCACGACACTATCAGAGCATCGCCCCTGTAACTAAACCTTATTAAAATATGTTTGAATGGCAAGAGGCGCCGCGTCGGACGTACCTTTGATGTGTCCTCTAAAGATGATAAGCTTATTGACACAGACAGACTAATAAGTATGGACAAGCAGGCTGCTATTTTAAGAAACTGACAACTCTCAGACATCAGATCATTGATAGAAATACAAAAGTGAGTCAGCCATAACCAAATTAAATTAACTAACCACACTATAAAGTTAGAATATTGTGGTAGTAGGTAATGCCCGTTAATTAAAATCCTTGTTCTTCTTTTTAGGATTGCCTAAACAATTCATTCAGGCCATGATTTGCATTGGTTGAAATATGGAAATTGTTTTATATCAGTACCTTCATCACACAGCCATTTATGCATGTGGACTATTTTGCACCAATGAAACTATAGTCCTATGAAAAACATGGTCTATGAGAGGACTGTAGCATTACTTCTATTCCTGCACACATCAAAATCCACACTGACTCACTGACTGACTTACCTCTCATATGTTAACTGTAAATTATCGATCAGTGAGCACATGGTTGGTTACATGTAATAACTGTGCACTCTCAATTGGGCAGTGTATGAGGGTTTGCTTGAGTATACCTTGACTCAATGAACAGGTTGTTCCTGGAGCTGATTGAGTGTGTCAATACTCAAGTAAACCCACATTTGACATTCATCTATAATGAAACTGTCAGATGATTGTCTTATTCTCCCTCAAAAAAAGGATGTCTTTTTCTCCCAAGTTTAAATACCAAGGGAAATCAGTGTCACACATAATTTTGGATGAATTATTATTAGTAAGTTATGTAATTACTTGATGTGCACCTACTAAAATGGCACAAATTATCAAAAAGCTTTGTGAATGACTTTTCTCATGTATTACACGTTGAGCATATTTCCAGCAAAATCCAAATATCAAAGCAGCTATCAGCAAATTATTATGTAAATTAGTTTTATATTATTCTTGCCCCATAGTGGTTCTTACATATCCAGTACTAGTTTTCTGTGCTTGAGTACTTGTACTTATGTAGTAAATTTTGTGTGTTATAATACTATGTTCATCAATATTGATTTCAACTTCTGCTGTATGTTTTTTTTCCTCAAAGGGGCTTGAAAAATGTTTAAATCTTCCAGGAATTCATGGCCTTTTCACACTTTTTTTCTAATGTAGTATTGCCTTTTAATGCTCAACATGCTGTGTGCTTTTGGTGAAGATTCCATTAGTGATACCTTTGAAGTCTTCACGCTTTACTTTATCTTTTAAGATTACTTAAGTGAACCAAACTGCGTGGATGTCACGAGGACAGTGTATGTTCATAGGTCTAAAAATCTGTTTTGTTGAAGCGCAGATCTGACAGCTTGTTTTAGCCAACATTATGTAATGGACCAGATTAAAATTTTTTGAGTCAAGCACCTTGAAAGTGGTTGTCCTTTAATAATGAACAACCCAAGAATGAGCGTGCATGTATTTTGTTAGTTGTACCAGACATACTAGTAGACCAGAAAGGAAGAGTGCATGGATCTTAGTATAATAACTCCAAATATGTGTGGCCTTAGTTATAGTTTACCTGACATTGTGGTGGTCAGAATGATCAGGGGTCTCACTATAAACTTCAAAGTGGAATTACTTAACTAAAGAGTGCGTAGTCACAAAATGTTACAAACTTCTTCAAACTTTTTCTTTGCAAAGATCTCTTTCTCTCNAATTTTAATGGTCGTACGAATGGTAGCACCTTTTAGCGAGTGGGATTTAACTTCCTTTTTAGGTCAGTAAGTTGACAAGTAGTAACTTTGATTAGGGTTAAACTGTAAAAACTGGACAACTGTGGTAGAGATAGAGCATCTCCAAAATGGTTTATGTAAGGTGTTTGTGATGCAGAGGCCAATATCTATCAAAACTATGATGAAGTAGGGCTCAACTGTCAAAGTGTTGTTGTTTTTTTTTTTTTTTGTTTTGGGTTTTTTTTTTTTTGTATGTTTGTTTGTTTGCTTTCCAAACCAACAGAAGAGCTACACTTTTCTGGCTGAAAGATTGTTGCTTATTTGAGTGCAAATTATGCAGGTGATCACAATGTTCTTTGAGGACTGTGAATATTCAGAGGTTGGATTTGTTTCTGTGGTTATCAAACAGTGGGGAAGCTTTAGCAGACATACAGTACAGTCACACATTCATAGTCAATATGTGTATTAACAATATCTTAATTGCCATCTTCTGCATCCTTTTACACAAAAGCCTTCCCTGTCTTCCTCTGACCTACAATCATTAAGTATACATGCTGTTCTGTGCCGTAAACCAATTGCTCTTTCGACTGAGTGAATGAGTAGCTTTCAAAATGGTTTGTTGGACAATTATATCATAGACAGCAAACAGATTGAGTGTGCTGGTGGCTAGACACATGCTTTCACATGGAGACAAGAATCCACTCCTCATTGACTTGCTCTGTGTAAACAAGACAGGTAAATATATAGGTTTAAGAAAACAAGCTAATAGTTCCTGGTCGCATAAATGGCTCAACTATTTAGGAGGAAAAATGTAAATGTTTACAGTGATTATAAGCATGCTGAACAAAAGTGATTACACTAAATTTAGAGTAAAATTTCCACAAGTTACTATACCACTGCTAATACCACTTTCTTCATTTGTAGATACTGATACATTGTAAACAAACTATTAATACACATTACTTAATAAAAGGCAAAAAAGTAACTACTGTTTTATTATGGTCCCAAAAGATGTTTTTAAAATTGTAATTATTCTAAAATGTTCTTCTTTATCAAATTCTAAATTCTATTACTTTCCAGCTGCATGTTTGAAAACAAAAAGCTTGCACAGTTCCTCATAGCACCCACAATGGGTTCATTTAAAGTTCTCTGCCCCTCTTTCCACCAAGAAACTTTAATTATTCACAAGGGATCAGAGCACCCACAAAGACTCATGTATCCACTCCTACAACCCTACACCAGCAAGATGATACAGGGCTCACAATACTTCAGGCACATAACAACCAGAGTCAGTTTTCAGCCAGTGCATGCCTTCACACACACATACATACATACATACACTGCTGTAGCTTATATGGGTGTGTTAGCAGTAGTGCCCGTGTTACAAATGTGCAAAAGTGATTGTTTACAGTGACAGTAGGTGAAAGCAAATATGTGGCCCATTTGGAGAAAATCTTAACTAACAGAGACAAGCTGATCCCAAAGTGAGACTTCCTGTCACGTGTCAGTTGATTTCATGTTTTGCCTTAAATAATGACACAAAAGTTGATAAAATGTATTGATATGTCTTTCCTATTCCCTACAGTTTGATGGCAGCATGCTGTGTCTTTAAATCCTTTTGTCTCTCACATGCAGCAAGCTTCACAGACCCACTCAATTAAATCAAAAAATCCCCAAGGACCATGCTCTCAGATGGGGGAGTGCCCCATCTCTTTCTTTCAGGGATGGCTACCGGCTGAGTGTAATAAAGGCCTTTGTTGTTCACTCTCAGTGCAAACCTATAATGATACAAGACTATGCCAAAAAGCTAAAACTACAAAAATAACATTAAAGAATGTGTGTCTTTTAGTTTATGTAACTAATCTAAATGCCAGAAAGTGCTTTAAGTTGTGTTCTTATGGATTGACACAACGTTCAAAATAATATTTACGCATTTTAAGTTGAAAGCTAAACAAAAGTTAAAATGTCTTAGAATTCATCGTGGTCACCACAGCAGGTGCACATTTTGCCTAGTTACTGTAGACAGTGTCCTACCAACAGCACATTTAAAGTGACAGTCGATTGTTTACATGCTACTCAGAGCAGGACTGAATCTAAGAACAAGAAACATTTTTATATCTATAAACAAAACTTGAATGTAATGAATTTAAGTTGTAGTGTGTGTATAACTGGACTTGGAAAAACACTTACTTCTTTTTACTTTTCTTTTTTGATTTGTGCTGTCCTCATAAAGGTTTGTCAATCTTGCCAAAAATGTCCTCCCATAGTAAGTCCATAGCAACTCAGAAAGTAGTGGTAGAGATTTACTTCCAGCCAGAGAGTGTCCCAACAACAACTTCACTGGCGTGGGCAAGCAGTGCATCCAGCAAGGTCCCCTTTCAAATAACCACCACTGCTGGGATACCAGGATCACCAGAAAACCTGGAATGGATTCAAACAGAGGAACAGACAAAGAGCAAGTCAAGCCAGAAGGGTTCATATTGAAAATTAAAATATCTTACTTATACACTAGCATAAGAAGAGGTGAGTTGGTACTTGTTATTGTTTTAATGAGTAAAGAGTAAAGAGAAGTAAAAAGAAATGTAAAATGATTTTATGCATATTTGTGCATTTTTGGCAGCAAAAACTGCTGTTACAAGTAAATATAGTTTTAATGGTGGGTAATGAATAAATGCAATAGCATACATAGCATGCACAGGATGTTTTCAAACAGTACTTTTTTTTTTTTTTTTTTTTATCAAAGTCTATTTAGGGATATCCCCACTGCAGTGTGATATTTACTTTAGCCATGGCTTTGCTCCTACTCCTCCCTCACTGACAGTTCAAAGTCTGGCAGCAACAGCCCTCATGAAATGCACCTTACAATTTAAACTGGCTCACCAATCACAGCCCTGCAGAGGCCGTAACAGTCACTATAACATTTGCACAACAAAAGGGTGACTAGCTGATTCATCAACCCCCCTTTCTCCTCTCCCTTTCCCTTCCAGTGTGACTCCTCCTCTGCCCCCTTTGTGTCCAAACCCAAAATCCCCTTCTTACCCTGGTGACCCTCCTCCCCTCTGTGCTAATCTCTGTTTTGCCCATTGGGAGGACTGGCTGGGGAACTAGCTCAGCCTGCACCCCAAAAGGGCTCATCGGGAACACGCTAACATGGACCACTAGCTTCTCTTCTCGTCTGTGAAGACCAAAAAAAAATTTATTAATTAATTTCTACTCAAAAAAATGACATGTTTACTGTACTGATAAACCCTGCAAACATTAACATAATGACATGGCTTAGGCCCTGGTTCAGGAGGAAATTTGACAGTGCTGATAATAAATATAACTTCGTTTATAATAACACATTATTTAATTAGGCATATATTAAGATGTAATAAAAATAGGTACATAAATGAAGATGCTTTAATTAAAAAAAAAAGTCATCTAATTTATCTGGGACCTTAATGGTTCCATTGTATCAGTAAACAACCCACCAACAGAAGGTCTCAAAGTGACTTTGCATTTCACACCTGTTGATATAACAGTAGGACTGTACAATTAATTAAATTGAAATTGAAAGTCATTTTATTTGCTTTAATAAGATATAATAAAAATTGTGGCTGTTCAAGATGATAATCAAATATTGTAATTTTTGTTTGTTCTTTTGTCCAGCCCCAAGCAACGATGATGTCATTGTGGGCAAAGAGACCCCCCCCCCCCTTGATGGGCTAAGTGAATATCCAAAAAAAAAACACCAATAGAACATTATAGTAAGTATAGTAATTTAGTGAATGAAATTATGTTTTTGACAGACTTGGCATAATTGTGTTTCTTGGTGCATGGTCAGTTGTTTTAAAATGTCAAAAGAGTGATCAATGGAAATATTTAGTTTAATCTTTGGATGAATGTACAGCATGGATAGTTTAAGAGTCGAAATGTCTTTGCATACTTCATCTTAACTCGATTAGTCCCCTCACATCTTGGTTAAAACTCTCCAGATCAGACTGAAGATTTTGTTCTCCCTCAAAGTTTTCTTTGCTCGTTCCCAGAGGCTGTCCTCCTTCCACAGGCCCCGGCTCTTTCTTTCAGCTTTGACCTCTGCCCTGTGCAGTCGCCTGTTCAGTCGCCAGTAAAGCCGGGAGTCAGGAAGAAGCCCTATGATGGGAGCAGTGCGGGCCAAACCCTGTCTGAGGAGCTCCTCGTTGATACAGTAGGTCCACAGCACCCCCTGGTGGATAAAGAGAAATTAAATTAATTTGTGCAAGGTAATTTTTTGTAACTTGTATTCTGTGAAATACTGTTATTATTATATTTTGAGATATTCCCTGAATATGCTACTGCTATGTTGTACCTTGTTTTGGGACACAAGGCAATAAAGTATGTCATCCTCTTGGCTGATTAATTTAATCCAAACCATTTTAGCAGGAAGCAAGTTCTCTTGTAGCCATTGCCTTCCTTCTGGAGTGAGCTCTACTCCAGCAAGATGTACCTGCAATGAACTTGGAGACATATCTGTAATAAAAAAAAAAAATATATATATATATATATATATATATATATATATATATATATAATATACATACATATGTATAGAGAGAGAGAGAGAGAGAGAGAGACAGACAGACAGACAGACAGACAGACATATAAATGAAATTGACATCAAGCCTTTTCCTTAGGATAAAATGAGTTTGAAAATTTAGTATAGTGACAAGTTACACAAATAAATGCTATAGTCATGATATATAATAGAAACCTCTTACTATGCTTTTTGTGAAGCAATGAAGAGATGACAGGCAAATAGATTGGGACATGCTCCACTGCAAGACCTTTCTCTGTAACTGAATGGACCTTCACATGGAGAGTGACATTCCTCTCCACAAACCGCAGAGGAATCTGAGAAGCTGCATGAAACTTGGTCATCTGTGGAGGTAAAAACAAAACCGCATGTGTGTAACCTGATCATTTTTATCATAAAGATTTATTTAATGTAAAAGAATGTATATAAAGAATAATAATAGTAAAATAAAATTAAAAATAGAGACAATATGATATTGCTCATCACTGACCTGACTACCATCAATATTCTTAAAAACATAGGAGTTGAATTGATTTGATTTGAGCTCTTACCAGTTTTATACTTCTGGCAATTATAATCACGCCAGCCAACGCTAACCCAGTGCTTAAATTCTGAGGAGAGAAGTAAGTTGATTATGAAATTACCAATATGACAGTGATAAACTAAAGGACAAATATCGGTGTAGTTATTGGTCAACTTATAGCCTACTGAGCAGGCTTTTTACAAAAAACAAAAGGAGGACAGTTAAAAAACTTGTACTGTGAATGTGATTTGTGAAAATGACAGGTGTCAAAGCATGTAGCCATATAATGTAGAAATGATTTTAATAAATGCATGTGCATAAGACATACCCGTACAACAGTTAAATGATCGTCTGCAAACTGAGATATTAAGGAGACGATGTTGCTGGATGACGGCTTTGCTTCATGTCTTTGTTGTCTGTCAGTCCTACCGTCTCCAGTATCTTTTCTTGCTAACGACTCTGGCGGTGGCGGCATGTTGTTGACATTCTGGGTGCATCCGTGGCCCGCCCCCAATGGGACGGACTAAGATTCTCCAGCCTGAAGTCTCCGCCCTGTGGCTCACTATGGACATGGCACTGATCAAAGTAAAGTAAAATCTGAAATATTGTACTTACTTGCAGTATTAATTCTGAGCGTATCAAATAGCATTTACTCGTTACTTTGATCCACAGATTAGCAAAACTCTGTCTGCATACATAAAGGCTACGTTCAAAGTCGTAAAATATAAATCATCGCTTCTGTCTGAGCGGTATTGTGAATGCATTTTAAACCATCAGGGGAATCAGAATTTTATTTTATTCATCCCCAATATTTAAAGTGTTGCAAACATAGTTTGTGTGGAGTAGAAAGCCATAGTTAGATTTAGTTCACACTTCACAGGAACATGTTTAGAAACAGAGATCACTTCATTGACCACAGAAAGTATGACAGATGCAGTGGAGCTTTCATCTTGTAAACTGTGAAGTCATGGAGCTACTTGAAGCCGGATGACGCCCCCATTACCACAAATTGGCCAATAGGAGTTGAGAGGCAGAGTTGTCCTCCTGGCCGCCATTAAAGAATTCAATCCATGAACTGAAATAATGGAAATCTGCAGGAGCTATGGATCACTGAGAGAAGCGTAAACGATGAGTAACCCTACGAATCTAGAACATCTACCGTTTTACTTGTTTTACTATGTCTGAGTGATGTGATGATTTTAGAAGGAAGGAGGGCGGTGTAGCTAATTGTTTTATTTAGCTAGCAGCTAGCGCTGGAGCTCTGGTATGTTAGCTTCTGTGCTAACTGGCTAAAGCTCAGGGGGAGGGGAGAGTTCCTCTGCTTTGAAATTGTTTCAGACCAGCTAGCTTGCAATAGCATTAGCGCTAGAGGGGCACACGATTTGGGGGTAAAGTTTTTAGTTTTGGGGGTCATATTTTATCGTGATTACCGTTTCTTATTATTGTAATCAATTATTAGATTGTTCTGAACCAGTGATAATTGGATTTCTGATTTGACGTTATGTAGTAGTAGCGGTAGGCTTGTGGCTATCCAGATCAGACAATACATTTCAAACAGGATTGATGAACAGCTAGAAGCTCATAGTTGACGCTATCAGAGCCTGTTAGCTTAGCCACAAGGCTAGCATAGGCTAGCACCGGCTAGAAGTTGTCTATATAAACAGCGCTAGCTTTAGCACCGAAGTTGGTCAGCGCTTCAACTGGAAACTCATACTAAACAGTGCTTTAACGCCAAATAACGGGACCAGTCATTGCCCTCGATGGTGATTGAAACGATGGACTTAAAGAATCCAGCAACGCAGTGAAAGGATGACTTCGTGCTTTGTACCAAACGGGGCCAGTTTGGAGGACTGCCACTCCAACCTCTTCTGCCTGGTAAGTCTCTGCTAGCGTTAGCTCTCACACTCAGGCCAGAAAGCCATTTTGGCTAATCAGGCAACAAGCTTTATAACGTCAGTGCATACTGGCGTAAAGGCACTGGGCCTTCAACTTGCAAACAGTGATCTATCCAACTTTCAAATCATGAAGGAATATACTATTACGTATTTTGACGTAAAGTCCAAAATGACGACTTGTCTATCTATTTTCTGTTGATACATGACACTGTAATGTAGTAATAAGCAATGCATTACTGTGGATTCTGCTAAATCAGTGTCAGTCTGGGTCTTGTAGTATGCATTTGCTCCACAGGCCCGTCTGATTGTTGTCAAAGACTCAAATTACTACAATATCTTGATAATTGTACAATTTCTTTACAATGTCTGTGTTATTTTTGATGCTTCATTTGAACATAATTTATGACAACAAACACATGGCAGTGCAGTTATACAGTAACTACTGTTTTACCTTTTATTTCTTCCCATTCATACAATGTTTCTTTACTGTAACAAAGGCTGATTTGACCGGAATAAAATGGAGACGCTTTGTGTGGCAAGGACCCACATCTTCACCCATCCTATTCCCTGTGACTGAAGAGGATCCCATCCTGTGCAGCTTCAGCGCATGCCTGGCTGCAGATGTCTTGAGTGTGTGGAGAAGACATCACACTCCTGGCCGCAGAGAGCTCTGGTTGTTCTGGTGGGGGGATGACCCCAGTTTTGCTGAACTTATTCACAATGAGCTCTCAAGTAAGTGCAGGCTGCCTTCACAGTGACTGACTAAAGTAAACTCTGTTAAATAAATGGGAACAAAGTATTTCTTTGCTCTGGGAGTAAAATAATTTGGTTTTATTGAAAAAATAGTACTGAATGAATGTTTTACCTTTTGTATTTTTGTTGTTAAATATCCGAAATGTCTTTATGTGTAATAAACTGGTATTTGGCTCTAGGTGAAGAAGATGGTGAGTGGGAGAGTGGCCTGTCCTATGAGTGTCGTACACTCCTGTTTAAAGCCATCCACAACCTGTTGGAGCGCTGTCTCATGAATCGGGGTTTCGTGCGCATAGGCAAGTGGTTTGTGAAGCCGTACCAGAAAGACGAGAAGACGCTCAATAAAAGGTATCTCATTTTAGACTATATAAAATTATATTTTATTATAAAATAATTGCTCTCAATTTTGTTTTTTATAAATGCTCATGTATGCTTTAGTCCACATTTACTATGACTATGTATTTATAAAGCTCTCACAGGCTAATAATGTATTTGCTCTGTATATTTGGTACAAATGAATAAATGTTGGCCCCAGTACTCAAGGTTTGCTCCTCAATCTTTAACACAGAAATTATCTAAGTTTTAAAAAATTAATAATGTTAAAGACTGTAGCAGATCATTCTTTGATTAGATGCAATTTTATAACATGGCATTGATTTGAGTCTAAGAATATTCAAATGTGAGTCTAATGAATGCTATGTTGGTGCGACATTTACTGTTGTGATGATGGGAGTTGGTCTGTTTGCTGTGTTGGCCCCCTTCTAACCAGAAAGTTGTAGTATTAACATTTTATTTTGAAATGACATCATTTGCAGTAAAATTGTCTTAGCACTGTCACCAATAATGGAACATAAATGGGATGGGCTTTGTCTAAGGGTGCATTCACGCTTGCGCTCACCACATCAGCATTTTTTGAAGTTATAACTATTGCTGCTGTATGGGTTGGAAAATACAACTTTCCGAGTGGAAGTGGCTGAGAAATGGGAATTCTGGAAGTTGTGAATGGCAGTGTTTCATTGGTTTGAATCCCAACTTGAGTTTACAACAATTGTGATGCAATTTAACATGATTTGAGTAATGTGAAATTAAGGCTTTACAGAACCACTGGAATACATTTTGCACATATAAGACCATGACATGAACCCATAAAAGTGGGCCAGAACCGAGCCAGGATTACATCTGGACTAAGATGGGCTCAAACCAGGGCAATGTGCCTTTGATTGGGAATGTTCTATTTGTTACAGGCCAATGTCTTGCATACCTCTTGTATAATTTGGAAATCCATAACCTTATTTTAATGGCCAAGTTTCCTTTGCCCCTTCAGTTGACATACTTGTTGTTCAGCCCTTTAACTCAGATCTTTGTGGCACATTTAATAGTTGTCTAATTGCTATTAAGATGGTAGATGGTAATATGCCTCTCTCCAATGTTTGCATGTTTAAAAGAAGCAGTACAATTAACAGTGGAGTTGGCTCATTCCTGTTTGGCTGGTAAACAGGGTAGTCTTTTGAAAAATGCTGAGTCTGCATTGTGGTTTTACAGCAACCATGTCAACAAGTACTATTTTAGTACATTTAGCAGTCCACTATTACAGAAGTAGTAAAGGTGGTTATTTTATTTGGAAGTTATCATTCATATTTGCCTATTATAGTGAAGGCTGGACAGAATTATTATTTAATATTGTGTCGTTCAAAGTATCAAAAGGGATTACTGCACTATTTATTTAGTTTATTTGGACTGGGAATCACAGGATCTCTCACGATTCAATAGAATACACAATACATGGCTCACAATAAGATAATATCCCAATATGGCAATTCATACAATATGTTTCGCAGGATAGTATACAAGAAGAAATGCACATTTACAAAAGCATTTCTCTGTTAAACCATTATATTTAGATTCCATTTATGAAATGCACACAACTTAATAACCAAAATGTTGAATATGCAGGTGGATCTCCCATCCCACTGCAAACCAGGTCCAATAGTTTCCATTAGTTGTAGACTACATGTGAAAAGAACATGGTATTGCTGCTTAAAGCTGTTTTATAATTCTGCATGTAATAAGCTCTCAGAATAGCCAGTCAAGTGTGTTGGCAATAATATATTTTTTCTTTGTCAGTGAGCACCTATCCTGCGCATTTACCTTCTTCGTGCATGGTGACAGCAATGTATGCACAAGTGTGGAGATAGCTCAACATCAGCCCCTTCAGCAGCTGAGTGAGGAGCATCTCAGCCTTGCACAGCAGAGCTCCAGTCCAATGCAAGGTTGGAGCACTGTTTAATCCTCTTTTTTTTGGAAATTTATTGTTGTGTACACATTTGCATGATGGCTCTTACTTTGTCTTGCAGTCATCCTAAGTCCATATGGTTTAAATGGGACCCTTACTGGCCAAGCATTCAAGATGTCAGACCATCCCACTCAAAAGCTCATTGAAGAGTGGAGGCAGTTTTATCCCATTGGTCCCAATCCCAAGGATCTTCAAGAGGAGAAGATGGAAGACACAGACTGGGAGGATGACTCTCTGGCTGCTGTTGAGGTCCTGGTTGGTAAGTGGAACCATACACTTAAGCATTGTGTTTTCTGTTGTAACGGAAGTTTTTACTGGTGGTGTAGGTTTTGTTTTTTTAAATAGTTTTAGACAGATGAGGCTTAAGTGTCTTCCATTGATTAACAGAGCACTGTGTTTATTTTTTTTTGTAAGTGACAAAAGTATATACAGCACGTATAGCATCTTCAGACATTACAAATTACAATTTTTATGAGAAAATTGCACACAAATTCTTATTTGTGTAATGACGGATTTTCTTTTATAGCTGGTGTACGGATGGTCTATCCTGCATGTCTGGTGCTCCTGCCTCTCTCGGACCTCCCCGTGGTTGTTCCCCAGGCCTCGTCGAACACCTCACCCATGTGTGGTGGTCAGGCTGTACACAGAGACCCCTCCATGTCATCGGTTACTCTAACACCCCCAACTTCACCGGAGGAGGCGCATACTAGTGAGTTAATGATTTCCATGCATTTAGTATTATCTTGCACAGTTAAAAACAATCTGACATTGTATGTCTTTTTGTTCACAGATCACCCACCAGCACAGAGGTGGCTGAAACTCTCTTCTTCATCTGATTGCTATAATTCCAACCATAGCCTTCATGGAGGTAAAATACC